AACTTTCAATTATCCCGTCTATCTTTTCCCTTTTTCTATTTCTGTGTATCTTACTTTCACTCTTACTCCGTGGCTGGCTAAGTTGCTGGGTGGCTGGGTGGCTGTGTGGCTGGCCCCTAGCATCCTCTTCTCCTTGTTCTCTTGCTCTTTCTTTTCTCCTCCCAGATTTCTCCTTCTATTTATTCTCTCTGCCTGCCAGCCCTTCCTATCCCTTCTCCTGCCTCACTATTGGCTGTTCAGCTCTTTATTAAACCATCAGACATTTTAAACAGGCAAAGTAACACAGCTTCACAGAGTTAAACAAATGAAACATAAAAGACTGCAACACATCTTTGCATCATTAAATACATGTTCCACAGCATAAACAAATGTAACACATCTTAAAATAATATTCTACAACAAGGCAGGTCTACAGAGAGAACTTCTCTCAAAATAAAAAATAAAATAAAAAAAGATTTCCAATCTGTGTTGCCTTCAGTAAAGTCTACATGGCATGGAATTATATAGCACACATTTTGTTTCTACTGCAGCAGGCTATATTTCTGTTTCTTTTGGGGGTGGTGGTGTTTGTTTTGTTTCATACAACAATGTTAAGAGTTCACTGAGACAGAAGCACCAGCACTGAATCATCAGGAGGAGACAATATTGGTGAAATTATTAAGGCAACTCCACATAGTTAAAAGGGAGGTTTATTTTGTGGGGTAACTTACAAGTGAAGGGATAGGTTACAGGGTCTGGGAAAGGTGTAGCACAGTCTGGCAGTGTTCTCTGGAGAACTCTGCTTGGTCTACCTCCATCGTCCAGGGTCCAGGAACCAAGAGAGCCCTCCCATCCAGATCTCTGGTCTTCAGGGGTCCTCTTGGCTCCGCCTTGTAGGCGTGACAGTTACCGAAGCCTCAAAGTGGGTGGTATTTCCAGGTCAAAGCTGGACCGGCTACCCACTACAAGACAACTTTTTAAATTCCAGCAAAACTCTAATTTGTGCTCACTAAGTGCTTGCTAGAATTGACTTTTTTCTCAGTACCACCAAGAGCTGCGCTTAATCCCCATGTCCTCTCTATCCCAGAATTCACACTGCTGGTTTATATGGAGGCTGCCAACTCTCCCCTAACCATGGGAAAGGTAGAGCATCCATCATGATGTTTTGACCTTGACCCTTCCTGCCAATTTCCTGGTAGAAGCATAACTATCACAAGGAACAAAAGACAGTAACCCAAACACTGGAAGCCTACACCATCCCCCAGGCAGGGGTCAGCAGTGCCATCCTTGTCTTAGAGAGCCCGATAACTCTCACACGTCCAGCAGAGAACTGGCCGAGGACCTAAAAAAAGCTCTTGTCCCCAGAGGAAAGCCAAGAGAGGAAATGAAGACCCACACTATGTTTTATATTTTTTAATGGCTCAAAATCTATCCCAGGTAAGATGAACACAATTTCCTAGTTTCAGAGATTTGAGAGCCCCACCCTGGATTGCGGTAGCCTTTGCTGCCCATTTATATCACCTGGAAGAAAGGACCCTCTGCAGACATGCTAATAGAAAAAGCCTCAGGCCAAGGCCTGGGGTTTCACACATATTTACTTAATCCACACCAATCACATAAAACAAAACAAAAACAAACAAGCAAACAAACAAACAGGATGCATGGGCCACATCTGAACAGACTTTCTCCCGTTAGTTAATGATATTTCTTTCTGTGCAGACATGTGCAACCGGAGGAAACATTGATCATCTCTCCATCCTAAGCAACTGTTGCTTTCTTTTTTCTTTCCTCCCCCAGTTCATTTAGAGACAGGTCTCACTTTGTTTCCCAGGCTGACACTGAATACTGGATCAAAGGGTCCTTCTCCCAGAGCCTCTCAAGTAGCTGGGACTCCAAAGGTATGTCACTCTGCCTGGCTCACAGTTCCTGTAGGCCAGTGCTTCTCAACCTGTGGGTGGAGACCTCTCTGGGGGTCGGACGACCCTTTCACAGGGGTCGCCTAAGACCATCAGAAAACACTGATATTTACATTATGAGTCATAACAGTAGCAAAATTACAGTTATGAAGTAGCAACAAAAATAATTTTATGGTTGGGGTCACCACAACATGAGGAACTGTATTAAAGGGTTACCACATTAGGAAAGTTGGGAACCACTGCTGTAGGTCAAGGCCACTGGGTCTCTTGATCAGGCCACATTTCTTTTATTATATAAAAAAGCAACAAATCTTCCTTCTTATAAAACTCCTCAAAACTCTTGTCTAGATCAGGATGTGGCAGTGCACACCCTTAATTCCAACCCTCAAGAAGCAGTGGAGGTTTGAGGCCAACTTAATCTACATAGTGAGCTTTAGACCAGCCAGGGCTACACAGTAAGAGCCTGTCTCAAAAATCAAACAAACAAAGCCCTCCAGGATAGATCTTATTCAAAGGAAGACAGGGATCTAGCCGGACAGCTCAGTAGTAGGTGAAGGTGCTTGCTGCCAACCTTATGACCTGAGTTCAGTCCCCAAGATGCACGAGGAAGGAGAGAATCAACTCTCACAAGTGGTCCTCTGAGTTTTACATGTGCCCTACAGCACACACACACACACACACACACACACACACACACTACATGTAATACAAATTTTAAGATTCGTGTTTATTAGTTATAATAATCTGCCTGTGTGTGTACACATGGGTGAGTCTTCTGGAAGAGCAGCAAGTGCCCTTAACTACTGAGCCATCTCTCCGGCTCCCAAAAAAACTTTAACAGAGAAAGATAGCTATACTGAAATGATATTTCTTATCATCAAATCTAAGCTGAAGACAATGAAAAGAAAAGGGAGGATGGACCTTTTTCTCACAGTTTGTATCCGTAAATATTTCTTTATTTTTATGTGTTTTCTGATATGCTCTAGAAATGGGTTGAAATAATGATCACAACACCATCCCTCTCCTGGGTTACGTTGGGACCAGTTCATCACGTGACAGGTGGCCTCTTTTTTACTCCACTTCACCTTGACCTCAAACCACATCCTGATTCTGCACCTGAGAGTCAGTTGACTGAACATATTTGTGAAAACAAATGCTCTTCTAAGGCCTGAGGTACGGCTCACACCCTGTCACGTCTATCCTCGACATGCCCTTCCAAGCACCAACATGAGTGACACAGTGACACCGTGGAAGAAGTCCCAACACGCTCCTGGTGCAAAGGACAGGGCGGGAACTCTCGGTGTACTCCAGAGCAGGAAGAGGAGACTCTAAAGGAAGAATCAATGAAAACATGGTGGAAATGAGAAGAAAGATGTTCTCTATACCCGGGAAGCCTGAGCAGCCTCACCAGCCCCAAGTGCCATGGGTTGTAAGCATCACAGAGACAAGTTCGATTCTTCTCTTCACTCTATAAAATGTCCAAAGTAGGGCGGGAGCCATGATGCAGCAGTCAAGAGCAAGCGCTGCTCATACAGGGAACCTGAGTTTGGTTCCCAGAACCACGATGATGGGCTGCTTATCTGTAACGTCACTGTAACTTCAACTCCAGGGGCTCCATGCTCCCTTCCAGCCTCTTTGGGCATTGCGCTCACAGGCACAAGCCCACACACACCTAACATAATGAAAAATTAAAATTAAAAATCGTTTCTAAGATATCTAAAGTGTCATGGGGTTAAATAAACATGGATTGACCTTCGGCTTGCTCTTCACAGGTGAGAGATTTACTCCCACATCTTATAACCATTTCTGAAGATCTTGCTTCTGATAATATGCAACTGACCAAAATGTAAGGGACTGGGATAGACAGAAGTGCCTAAAAAGAGTCTGTAGATCCCATAATCCACAGCGAGGAAGGCTTGCTGCTCCGTTCTAGGTATGATACCATTGTGATGCCCAGCGATGGCATGGTTCCAGGATGGAGCCCTCCCAGCTCGAGAGGGGACAATAGCAAGCTACCTGTCACACTCTCTGCCTACAATCAATATTTAATCACCCACAAAATGCTAGAAAGCATTCCCCAAAGGGAATCTTCCCTGGATATTGCCCAAGAAATACTAAACTGTAAAATTTAGGAGACGCAGGTCAAGCAAGTCCACTAGAGGGAGCGCTAACCAACTCTACGCTACAGGGAGCTTGGGGGCTTCTAAACACCTGTCTGCAGAGTAATCTCAAAGAAATGGGGGGAGTGAGACAATAATTGACTGGAGAGAAAAAAGTCCTCTAAACACACCACTAAAGTCTAGGGCTTTCAGGAGGTACAAAACTTACTCACCAAGAAACTAAAGCTGAGCAAAATTAAATAGCTTAGTTCATGACTCTGCCTAATTCATGGCCTCCCCTCTGGGCCAGCATCCTGAAGTCCATGACTCGACTTCTTCTCTGTTCTCGTTTCCCTTAAGTGGAAAACTCTCTCAGTTACTGTGCCAACACGTGTTTCCTGCACACACCATAAACAGCCTTTCTGAAGTGGACCTCAAGTTCTTTTTGTTTGTTTGTTTTTGTTTTTTGTTTTGTTTTTCGAGACAGATTTTTCTCTGTGTAGCCCTGGCTGTCCTGGAACTTGCTCTGAAGACCAGGCTGGCCTCAGACTCACAGAGATCGGCCTGCCTCTGTCTCCCAAGTGCTGGGATTAAAGGCGTGCGCTACCACCGTCCAGCTGGACCTCGAGTTCTAAAGTAAATCGTGTCACTGTGTTCAGGAGACCTGGAAGTGTAAAGCGCCTGCGATGCCTTCTATCCCTGCCTTTCTTCTACATCTACCAAGCACTGTTCTCTCAGACTGGACACTCCTAGATTTCTAGACAGGAAAGTCTCCAGATTACAGGCAGTGCCTGTGTAGACATGAATAACAGCTATTCAGCTCCAAGGCCTTTTCTTTAAGGCTAGGCTTTGGAGGTAAGAGGAGAAGCCACTCACAGGACCTTTGTGGAGCCGATTTAGCCCACCCTACCTGCCTGTGAACACAGTGTTTCCCAGTTGCCTAGACAACAGGCAGTCTCCGGAAACCCAACACCCCAGTTCTTGGTCCTACCCCTTGGGGGAAGTTTTTCACCCTGGATTGGCTCCCAGGACCCAGGCTCCTCCCTAAACTCAATCTGCTTGGGACTCTCTTTGCCCTCCCCTAGGAGGGTCATTCCCCAGGGAGACAGACACCACACAAGTAAGAGAGGGTCCTGCAGGTAGGAAGGGGAAGAATAAGCATGCTGGGGAGAGAGAAGGGACCAGGTCCAGAGATTTCTCTTCTCTGAGAGGGCTGACTGCTGCCCACAGAACTGTTCTTCCTTCCAGCCCTGCCTCCGTTCCCAGGAGACCAAGAACTGAAACTTCTAGAAAGCATAAGATATACTGGGAGACTAGAATTCTGACTGTCCTGAGACTCCTACCGCCACCTAGGAGTCAGGAGAGCATCTCTGTATACAGACCTACACAGAAGGTCTTCCCTCCCCCAGGACAGCAAGGATGCCACCTAAAACCAGAGCGAAGGGGAGAAAAACCGGAGCACAGAAGAAGAAGAAAAATCCAAGTCCTGGTGAGTCACAGTGTGCGTCCTTGACACGAAGGTCCTCAGAGGGAGTCCAGCCCTCTGGGCAACAAGATGGGGTGTCTTTGTTTTGGTTTTGTCTTTTGTCCTTTTGACACAGGGTCACTATGGGACCCAGGCAGGCCTCAAACATATCTTCCGACTCAGTCTCCCTAGTGCTGGGGTTACAGGCGCTGCTGCCACCACACTTGGGTAGGGTGAAACTTTCTTGTCCTCCTCTCCAGAGCCTTGAGTCCAGATTCCATAGGGCTGAGGAAGTGGAGGATGCCTCCCTCCCAAATTCCCCCTGGAGCCCCACCTAGCTCTTTACCTTCACCATATTTTTCACCCTTATTTTGAGCACCCACTATGTACATGGCAGTGAAGACTCAGCCGTGAATTTGTAAGATTTTGCCATCAGGCATCCCTCCTCCAGCGATCTCCCTCGATCGCAGGACATGGGAGGAGGACCCGGGTGGGACCAAGATCAGGATAACCTAAGACTCTATCATCTTGCCAGGACAGATGCAGAGGCTGAGGCCAAGCACAAGCTGGTGCTGCTGGAGAAGGAGCTGCTTCAGGACCACTTAGGTAAGAAGCCTGAAACCTCAGGAGACAGCAGAGACAGAATGCCCTAGTTAGGGTTATCGTCGCTGTGATGAAACACCATGACCAAATCAGCCTGGGGAGGAAAGGGTTTATTTGGTTTATGCTTCCAAATCACTGTTTGTTATTAAAGGAAGCCAGGACAGGAACTCAAGCAGGGCAGGATTCTGAAGGCAGGAGTTGATGCAGAAGCCCTGAAGGGGTGCTTCTTGCTGGCTTGCTTCACATGGCTTGTTCAGCTTGCCTTCTTATAGAACCCAGGACCACCAGCCCAGGGATGCACCATCTACAGTGGGCAGGCCCTCCCCATTAATTACTAATTAAGAAAATGCCCTAAAGACTTGCCTATAGCCCGATCTTACGGAGGTGTTTTCTCAGTTGAGGCTCCCACGTCTCTGATGACTCTAGCTTATGTCAAGTTGACAATAAACTAGCCACTCAGTACATGCCCCCTGGGGGCATTTCTGGGGTCTTGGGGAACTGGAAGTTTGTGTTGCGGGGCTAAACCAAGCTAGCCATTATCTGTTGGCAAAGACTGTGAGGAAGGGCTGGGCAGTGGAGATCAGTGAAAGAAGCTATTCCTACCCCCGCACCCCCCCCACCCCACCCTCAGCGCTGGGAATGGAACCGCAGCCTCATTCATGATAGGTGAGTGGTCTACCATGGAGCTAACCTGCAGCTCGGGGAAGTCATTATCTTTTAGTAGCCAGAACGTGGGAGGAATATTGACTCCTTAGGAATGAAAACCCTATAGGCTCCGGGTGAGGGGGGGGGCAACTAATAAAGAGAATAAGAAATTGACACCCATCACCAAGTTCCCAGAGGTAAACATAGTTCATGGGGACTACGGTGATCGATTCTGTGTCTCCCACGCTGTCAACAGCTCTACAGAGGGATGAGACCCGCAGAGCCAAAGCTTCTGAAGACAGGCTGAAGCAGAGGCTGCAAGGGCTGGAAGCTGAACTGGAACGGGCCCAAAGCCAAGGGAAGGCCACGTATGCAGGTATGATTGACTGACCAGGTGGGCAGGGGGCAGGGGCGTGGAAGAGGGCAGCCAGAAAGTCGGGACTTCAAGGAAAGGAAGGGGAGTTCTAACTGGCGTAGCCTGCCTGTCTCTACCGTCCCTGCCTAGGAGGCTCCGGAGGACCTGGCAGAGTGTGCATCACCGCATTCTAGAACGGCTAATGCTGCCCGTCTGATGGCTATGTAACAAAATGTAGCCACAGCCCTTTTCTTTCTTCCTTTCTTTTGGTTTTTCGACACAGGGTTTCTCTGTGTGGCTTTGCACCTCTCCTGGAATTCACTCTGTAGCCCAGGCTGGCCTCGAACTCACAGAGATCCGCCTACCTCTGCCTCCCGAGTGCTGGGATTATAGGCGTGCGCCACCACCGCCCAGCTCACAGCCCTTTTCTTTATCTTTGGGAGTGGGAAGAAGGGCCAGGGTCCCCCTCTTAAGCTGAGGTGTGTGTGTGTGTGGGGGGGGGTCGGTTTTCTATCTCCCAAACTTTCAAGGTCTCCCAAGTTTCTCAGTTCTGTTCCCAGAATGAGACTTCTCCCCACTTCATTTCCTTCCTTTGTGCCTCCATCCCGATGGCTCTCACCTCAGAGATGAGCCGCCAGCGTCGGGCCCTGCAAGAGGAGTTGAGGACCCGGAGCAAGCAGCTGGAGGAGGAGGCCAGAGGTCTACGGGAGCAGCTGGGTAGGCCGCATCGCTCACCCTTTCTCTCCCAGGTCACCAAGAAGGCCCAGCATGGAAGAGTGCACGTAGAATATCCTTCTCTAGATGTCCACAATCTGTTGCTTGAATATTAACTAGGGTCACCTTCATCCTAACTTGCCTCTGAACAGAGTTCGTGGCACAAACCTCTATGCTAGGGGCTGGACTTGGCCTCTAAGAGAGTTGGTTCGGCAGTTAAGAGCACTCGTTCTTACAGAGAACCTGAACCAGCACCTCGGAGTGGCTCACAACTACCTGTAACCCCAGCCCTAGGGGATCTGATGTCCTCTTCTGACCTCCACAGGCGCCCACATGGTGCACATAAATACACACAGAAACGCATTCATACACATAAAATAACAAAATAAATTACTCTAAGCAAAGAAAAAAATTTAAAGCCCTCTAAGCTAGAGGTAAAGAAAAGGTAGAACTATCACCCCATTGCCCCCTTGGTTTAATCTCCCCAACTCCAACAGTTACCCCTTCACTGCCTTGTCTGCTCCAAGCGAAACACATTTCTTATTAGTTTAGCTGACTTTTACAACCAAACTACAGGAAACAATAGATTTAATTGACTTTAGTATCTTCAAAGCCGAGCACGTGGTAGCAGGCCTTAAATTACTACTTGTTAAATCATCGAATAAACCAATCAGGTGAGAAAACAGAGCTCAGAAGAGGGCATCAGATCCCCTGGAACTGGAGTTAGAATGATTCTGCGCCACCAGGTGGGTGCTGGGAACGAAACCTGGTTCTCTGCAGGAGCAACAGACGGTGCTCTTAACCACTGAGCCATTGCTCCAGTCCCTCCTGAGTCTTCTTATTCCTCAAAAGCCCAAGGTAGCCTTGAACTCACGGTGATCCTCCAGCCTCAGTCTCCTGAGTTGTAGGATTCCAGGTGTGAGCTGTCACATCCAAAATATCTTCAGTTTTGCTATAAATATCCATGAGTTGCTTATACAGGCCACGGATTCTGTCTCTAACCTTGGTCTTCTTTCAAATTAAAATTCAGCATGTACTGAACACCTGTCCTGGGCAGGTGCTTTGTCTCCCATTTCCACATGGAAGGGTCACAGCAAACAGAGGAGCACAGGTCATTTTACCCTCCAAAGATTCTGAAGAAGGGGCCAGAGAGGGCACAATGGTGATGAACACCGACTGCTCTTCCTGAGGACCTGGCTTTGATTCCCAGCACTCACATGGTGACTCACAACTATCATAATTCCAGTTTCGGGGGATCCCATCCAATGCCCTCGTCTGTCCTCCCCAAGTACCTGCATACATGTACATACATACACACAGGGGGAGGGGAGGGGTGTGGGCAAAATAAAATTATTTTAAAAATCAGATATAAAATTAAAAATAAATAAATGAAAATATTTATAAAGATTTATACAAGTCTATAATCCCAACCCTGGGAGATAGAGGGAAGAAGATCTGGAGTTCAAGCTTGTCCTTGGCTACTTGGAGAGATTAAGGACAGCCTGGGCTACATAAGACTCTGTCTTAAACAGAACAAAGCCAAAGATTTAAGACATGGAGACCCAGAGATATTAGTCCCACACTGTATATGTAACAAGCACCACACTTTGGCCCATGTCCTGTCTCAAAACATCTACTCGTTCTGCCGTACCTCAGTGGGTCCTTACAGAGACTTGAGGAAAGCTGATGACCCTGGGAGTCTGTACTGTCCTCTGTCAAGGCACCCTTTTAAGTCCCCTTGGCTACTGCTCTTGCTATAATATCACCGTCCTGTCCTCTTTATCTTCCTGCCCTGCTCCCTAGAAACATGCCAAAGAGAGGCTAAGGCAGAGAGGGAAGAGGCGGAGCGAGCCCTCCGAGAGCAAGATGAAAGCCTGGCTCAGCTGCGTGCCCACGTGGCGAACATGGAGGCCAAGTATGAGGAAATCTTGCATGTAAGCACCATTCCCTGGAGGCCATCTTCTCAGTATCCCATTACCCTCCATCCCTTTGCCCCCAACTAGTGTGACAACCTCCAAACCCAAGGAAGCCGTGCTCTGTTCTAAGTGTAAGCAGAAGATACAGGCATTGACAGAGCCGGTGACTTGTAACCCCATACGTGGGTGGCGAAGGCATGAAGATTTCCAGTTGAAGGTCAACATTGGCTACAATGTACTATGTAGCTGCTACCTAGGGAGACCTAGACTCAAAATAATCAGGGGCTTGGGGTACGGGTCAATGGTAGAGCTCTAGCCTAGTATGCGAGGCCGTGGGTTCAATTCCCGGCACAGACATGGCAGGAGGGAAACAAGAAGAGGAGCGGGGAGAAGGAGGAGCAGAGAAAGGAAGGAGTGGCACAAGCTTGTAATCCTACTGTTCAGGAGGCTGAGGCAGAAGGGTCATAGGTTCAAGGCCAGCCTAGGTGTATAGTAACAGACTCTATCTCAAAACAAAAAGTAAGAGGGGTTGATGTACAGCTCAGTGGACAGGGTACTTGCCTAGAATGTGTGAGGCCTTAGGTTCAATCCTGAGCGTTGGAGAGAGAGAGAGAGGGAGAGAAAAAGAGAGAGAGAGAGAGAATGGGCAGCCAGGCAAGGTCGTTAATGTTTGCAAACCAGCACTTGGGAAGCTGAGGCAGGAGAATTCTGAGTTCAAAGCCAGCCTGAACTACAAAGCAAAGGTATCTTACAGAAGGAAGGGAGGGAGGGAGGGAAAAGAAAAGAAAGCCACTGGAAAAGAACTATTACCAAGCTGGGCAACCTGAGGCAACATTCACCCTTCCCTCTCTTCCTGGGAGCTGAAAGCTTGGTGTCCACAGGGCAGCCTGGACTGTCTCTTGGCCAAGCTGAGGGCTGTCAAGCCTCAGTGGGACGCAGCTGTGCTGAGACTCCACACCAGGTACAAGGAGCAACTCCGTCAGTTTGGTCTCAACCCCCTGGATCTGTGAGGCCATTGGCCTCTAATCTCTGAGGCCTAGCAATAAAGCAACTTGATGTAGAATTCAACGGAACTGTGGATTGTGGCCTTTGGCATTGAGGGATGGCTCTTGTGGGGACATCTATGTTCTGGGTTAACCCATCATCCTACTGTCCTAAACACTGAATGATAAGAAATGGACGAGGCTCTAAACCCTCTCCCACAGAAACTAAAGCCTGGAGCAACTTTGGTTCCTTTAAACTACTTTGGCTTACTCTCACCAACAAAAACAAAGCCAGATTAATATGGAAAGGCTGCATATATATTTACTTATTTATTTGGACAATGGCATACCAAGGTGCTCATATAGAAGTTAGAGGACAACTTCCAGGAATTGGCTCTCTCCTTCTATCATGTGGTTCTGGGGATCGAACTCAGGTCATCAGGCTTAGCAGCAATCACCTTTACCAACTGAGCCATCTCACTGGCCAACTGGGAAAGGCTATAACAGGACATGACAGTGGCCAGGAACCAGCTCCAACGTTTCTAAGGTGCCCACGGAAGGAAAGCATGACTGATCTCCAGATCCTCATGTCACATGACACTGGGGTCACACCTAGCCTAAGTTCTCAGAGCTTCGATCCTCTCTGGCTCTACATCATCACCTTCTTGGGCAGAACTTCATCTTTGTAGCACAGCTCCTCAAAACTTCTACATAACACCCTGTGGAGACTCAGGCTCTCTCACGAGCCTGCCTGAGGTCTCTGTCCACACCCGTCTGCTGGAGCTAGGCTCCTGAGAAGGGAAGAAGGTCCTGTGATGAGTGGTGTCTGAATCCTCCAGCTCCTACTTCCAACTTGGAGAGACCATTGCTGGCTCCCTCCACCTCAGGGTGCAGAGCAAGGGCAGGAAAGCCACCAGGCAAGTCTGTGGCAGGCAGGGGTGCCCTATAGCTGCTCCAAAGCCAGGGTCCAGTCCTACACAGAGAGAGGAAGGACAGGGTCAGGCTGGGACCAGAAGAGTTCATTTTCCTGCCCCAACACGCTCTGGCTGCTCAGGAATGGGACTTGTTTCATGGATCCCTCTGTCTTCACCTCCTATGGCCTACAGTTCCCGTCTCCCCTCCCCACATGGCTCTACCTAGCAACCCTCCTCTCTGCCCTTCTCATAGTTCCGCCTGTCTCTCTGCCTTTACCTTTCCAAACTCTGAGGAAATCCAGGCTTCTAAGCGCTGCGGATTCCTAGCTGCCAGCGTCAAGCAGAGGGGTGGCTCCACCTCAGCCAGCTGCTGAAGCCTATCCAGGTCATTGTCTCCACCCACAGGATATCCATTCACCTCCAAAATTTCATCTCCCATTTGCAGCCCCGCTTGGGCAGCTGAGCCTCCTGGGGTCACCTGGCAGTACAGGAGACACACATGGAAGAATTCGTCAGGTGTTCTAAGGCTGGGCATGTAGGGAGGCAGAGGAAGGTAAGTGATGAATGATGGAAAAGATTCCAAGGCACATGGGGCGTGAGTCACCTGGGAGATGAGACAAAGCCCACTGGCCACACAGCAGAGCCTGAATCCATAGCCACCTCCGGGCCCAGGGTACAAGAGGCATCGGCGCGAGCCACCAGGGCTGGAAGGTTCAACTGCATCTTCGACTAGAAGATCCTTGGTTTCCGCCAGAGAGGAGGAGGCAGCAATCTCCGTGTTCTCCAAGAAGAGGAGGGGAGACAGTCGTACCTGGGGGGGGGGGGACAGACAGAGCAAACCTGTGGCACCTGAGCCCAGCTCCGTTCCTACCCTCTCCCTCACCCCGTCACCTGCGCACCATGCTGAAGAAGCGGTCAGCCTCAGGGTCGACAACAATGAGGGAGACGCGAGAGCCCTGTGCTCGGATCCTGGACACGGTTTCCTCGTGGCCCAGCCCGTCCACGCTTTCCCCAGCCACAGCCACCAGGCGGTCCCCAGCCTTCATCCCAGCCTTGTCAGCTGGCAGTCCCGGGTCCACGTCCCACAAGAACTGCCCTGGGACATAGACACATTCACTGCTCCTCCCGGACTCCCCCACATGCTCTCCCAGGGACTAACCCCGCAGTACGGGGGAGGATGCCTACGGGCCGTGTGGTTCAGATGGGGGGCACCTCTCATGGACACCGAGAGTGAGCAACTGGGTATGTAGGACCACCCGAGGGCCCAGTTCCTACCCACCCCTGGGGCTGCCACTCACCGAGGCGACCATCTGGGCCCTTCTCCTCCCGGAGCAGGAACCCAAAGCCTTGAGGCCCTTTCTCTATGTTGAGACCCCGGGGCTTGGCGGGCAGTGCCCAGCCCTCTGCCAGAGGGGCAGCGAGAGGCATCCCCAGTTGACGACACTGTTCCTCTACCTCCGGCCCTGCCACCAGCAGGGTCACCTGATCTCCACTCTGCCAAAGCTGTGGGGACCCAACGAGAGTATAAGCATAGCCATCTGTGTGGGGATGGAGAGGTGCCTCCCCCCAGGCCCAGGAATGAGGGCAGGCCTCACACAAACTATAGAGAAGAAAAGAGGCGCGACACAGGCAGACCCTCGGGAGACCGGGTTCATGTCGGAAGCCACCGCAGGAAGCCCTACCTTCCGATTGAGCTGGTTGGAAGTGAGCTTCTCCACACTGACCCCATTCACTTCTAGCAGCCGCGCCCCAGGAGGCACCCCTGACCTCTCAGCCGCTCCTCCGGAACTGAGCACCAGCCAGAAAGGACCCCGAGCTCCTAAAGGCAGACAGAGTAACTCCCAGTCTGCTGCTTGCCTCGGGTTCCCCATCCCTGACTACCCCGTCTCAGGCCCTAAGCTCACCATGAGTGATGCTGAAGCCAAAGCCACCTTGATCTTTTACTACATGGCACAGCCGGGGCCTGACCTCCGAGCCCAGGGTGGGACAGAGGGAGACATCGCTCCCCTGCTGAGCACGCACCACATCGTGCACATGTCCTGCCAACACTGTCAGCAATACCCGGGGACCGCTGGCCCGGATGAGGCGCACCACCTACATAAGGACACAGGGGAGTGAGAGCAGTTGGCCCCCTGGTGAAGGGCCAGGATGCCTTAGAACTTGCATTTCCACTGTAGAAACCAGCTCTGTGGGTGCCTTTATCAAATCCTTCTAGTTGGGTACCTCTGTGGGGTCTAGGTGAGAGTGAGGCTTGGCCCATGCACCCAGAGTGCCTAGGCAAGTGTCAGCCTCCTCTTCCTCTCTGAAGGGCTGTGGAATGTTCCTTTGTACCACAAGGAGTCCAAAGCCCAGCCTCACCACAGCATAGTCTTCATGTTCCACGATGCTATTGTTCACTGCAAGGATCCGGTCTCCTTCCCGGAGACCATGGCGCTGGGCAGAGGTGCCTGGATCCACCCTGCACACCACATGGTCAGCCTTGCCCAGCTGCTGCTGCAGATGGAACCCAAAACTCTTTTCCTCCTCTTTGCTCAGCAGACAGAAGCGAGGCCGGTGCAGGTTCCAGGGATCTGGAGGAGGAGGTAGGTAGCAAAAGAGGAGGGGGTGGGGTGGGCACACAGTCCAAGTACAGGACCATCCACTGCCTGGTGGCCCCTGCCTCCTGTTGGAGCACTGGGCAGCTTCCAGCCAGTGAGAGGGTGGGCTTTATAGCTGAAGGGACAGACACTGCATGGGCAGGGTGCCTAAAGCAAAGGGAAAGCCGCCCCCTCTACCTCTGCTTAGTTACTGATATCAGAGGGAGGCCGTTAGTGGTTACCAAGGAGACAGGAGGCTGTGTGGCACTGTAATGTCTCTACGGAAAAGTGATCGTTGCCAGGGGTGAGGGGTTACCAGACTGGTCCTGGTCTTCCGCCAGGGAGAGGGCAGGATTGTCAATGCCCAGCCTTGGATTAAACTTAAACTTCCTGTAAGGAGACAGGAGAGGCAAGTAAGGGAAGCATGTAGCTGGGCTGGGGTCCCAGGTCCTACTTGAGGTGCTGATGACAGCTGATAGTCTCCCCACCTTCAGTTCGTCTTCAGCCCTCGTACTACTTACCGAGTTAACAAGGCCGTGTCTTGAAGATCTGCTGGGCAAAGGAGGGGTAAGAGTGGAGACACACTCCTCCTCAGGAAGTCCCTGAGATGGGACTTCCATGCTAAAAACCTGGAAGGGCTTCGGAGAACCCCCAACCCCTCCCATTCTGCTCCGCTATCTTCACACACAGGGGCGTGGACTCCCCTCTGTTTCCCTCCCCCAGTTCTGTGGCACATAAATCTGAGCCTATCAGCACAGGGTGTGGACCAGGAAGACCGACTTACATGCTCACCTCATTCCTCTTTAGTTCTGTCTATTTGCCTCAGAGCTACAAGCCCCAAAGTCAAGTGTGTCCTAGACCCAAAGATTCCAAATCTGTCCCATCTGCTGCTGCCCCAAAGTCCCCTTCCAAGGATATCTCCCCGCCTCCTACCTGCGGTTGCCTCCATAGTTGGATCAGTGACCCAGGACTTAGAGTAGGGACAAGGTTCATTATAACCGGCTGACCCTCCCACCTGCCCCCTCCCGAGTCACGCCTCCTTGAAGACGCTGCAAGGAAGCAATGGGGTAATGGTTAACAGCAATGGGACTCTTTCTCTGGACAGTGTGTGTCTATGTTCCTTCTGCCCCCAAGTCTGGGTCCTCCCTTTCTTGAGAGAGCCTCTAACTAACCTAGTTGTTCTTGTGCACAGAAAAAAAAGATCACTGGTCAGTGTAATTCCAAGCTGGGGGCAGTAAGCTTGAAAAGGGTGATAGGAATTCTAAGGCCCAGCACGGACAACCTCATCCCAGGGTTTTATACACAGTCCCTCCAGCGACAAAATTATCTAAAGATGTCTGTGCCTCTCCCCGTGGCTATCAGACTATTCAAACAATGGATCACAAAGAATTGGAATTTCTCCAGGAATCTTAAGCTGGGAAAGAGAAAGATGAATCCCTCCTTGATGCCAGCTAGAACTTGTCTCCCAAGAAGAGGTGTCTCAACAGTTCTGACAATTTGTCAGACCACCTTGCCGGACAGACTGGAGCAGAGTCAATGAGCCAGTGGTTCAAGACCACACCCTGACAGGACCGTTTAGTATGAATACCTCTTGCCCTCTACTGTATTTGAACCTAAATCCCAGGTCAAGATCCTGAAAGATGAGCTGGGGAGTAGGGGTCACTGGACCTCTTTATTTGTTCCTCTTCCTGATGTGGCCACAAATCTTTCTCCACTTTTCTAAGTTAAAAAAAAAAATATTGGGGTTGGGGATCTAGCTCAGTGGTAGAGTGCTTGCCTAGCAAGCACAAGGCCCTGAGTTCAGTCCTCAGCTCTGAAAAAAAAATAAAAATTAAAAAAAATAAAATAAAATAAATTATTTATAGATAGGAGGCGGCGGCACACGCCTTTAATCCCAGCACTTGGGAGGCAGAGGCAGGCGGATCTCTGTGAGTTTGAGGCCAGCCTGGTCAACAGAGTGAGATCCAGGACAGCCAGGGCTCACAGAGAAACCTGTAGTAGAATACTGTTTTAAGGTGTGTTGTTTTTGTTTATGTTGCATTTGTTTAACTCTGTGAAGCTGTGTTACCGTGCCTGTCTAAAACACCTGATGGTCTAGTAAAGAGCTTGAATGGCCAATAGTGAGGCAAGAGAAAGAATAGGCGGGGATGGTAGGTAGAAAGGATAAATAAGAGAAATCTGGGAAGAAGAAGAAAGATCAAAGAAGGAGAGAGGAAAGAGGAAGACTCCAGGGGCCAGTCACCCAGCTACAACAGCAAGCTACAGAGTAAGAGTAAGATTTACAGAAGTAAGAGAATGGGAAAAGCCCAGAGGCAAAAGGCAGATGGGATAATTTAAGTTAAGGAAAGCTGGCTAGTAACAAGCCAAGCTAAGGCCAGACATTTATAATTAAAAATAAGCCTCCATGTGTGATTTATTTGGGAGCTGGGTGGCAGGCCCCCCCAAAGAGCAAAAACAAACAACAGAAACCCTGTCTCAAAAAAAAATTGTGTATGTGTGTGTGTGTGTGTGTTGTATTTATTCATGTGTGATGAGAGAGAAGGAGAAAGAGAGAGTGTGTGTGTCACCCAGAGAGGTCAGGAGGGGGTATGGGATCCCCTGGAGCTATAGTTAAAAGTGGTTGTGAGCTCCCCCACCATGTGGTTGTTGGGAATTCAACTCCTGTCCTCTGGAAGAACAGCGACAGTTCTAAACCTGCTGAACCATCTCTCCAGCCTTTCCCTGCTTTTTCACTATTCTCTTGTTAAATAGTTTATTGAGGATTAGTGGCAAAGCTCAGCTTGTTGGGGCTGCCAGAGCCCAGGCATCTGTACCAAAACTCCAGCAATTCTACAGCCTCTGAGTCTAGTGGCCAGGAACTGTCCTCAGCAGAAGGTAAACCAGACTAACCCTTTCTTGGAGTCACCAGGCAAGGAAGAGGAGACCACAGGCAGTGGAAGACACTCAGCTTTTTAATAGCAGCAAGGTGGGCACACTTATCCCTAGTGGCCTTGAGCCATCGATACCTGTGTAGTTGGGGGGCCATGAGGCTGGGGAAAGCACCACATGAGGGCATTTTGTGTCCAGAGGTGAGCGTAAGGCAGGATTGGGAAGCCACCCAGTACATCTGCTGGATGGCAGAGCCCCCAGCACGGCACACATGAGAGGTGTGCCCCTTGTAACAGAATCAGAGGAGAGAGAGGCAAGGTTGGTGGTGGGGCCACAGGGCAATTTGTCACACAAGTGTCATAGTCTTCTTAGTCCTTCTAGGCAAAAGAAGAGGTGACATCCTCCATATCCAAGCATCTGCTCACCATATTTGACCTTGGGAAGTCTAGCTTGGGGTCCTCACTGGACTTGTAGGTCAGAGAAGCACAGTTGTGCCCATTGCTTTGACTGCAGATCTTTCTGGAAGGAGCTGTGCAAGCCAGCAAGCCATACAGGGGAGGGTTTGGGGACCAGTGGTCCCACAGCCAGGTCACAGCTGTCACTGTCTCAGCTCCCAGAGCCTCCCAGCTGCTCCAGAAGGGTCTTGACCTCGCTCTCCACTCGAAGCAGCTGAGCCTTGCGCCAAGGATTAAGGGTGGCGCCTCGGCTATCTTCCAGATCCCGAAGCAGCAGCTTGAGATGGCTCTGGACCCGAGCCGGGTCCCAGCTGTTGAGGTTGCGCTGGACTTCACTAAGGATCACTGACCAGTATTCAGACACCGCTGCTCCTTCTGTCAGCGAGGCTACAACCCGGGCACCACCTTCACCAGAGCCCCCCAAGTCCCGCAGGACCTGGCGGCCCTCTGAACTCAGCTCATTGAAGTAGAGGCTGTTGGGAAAGAGATGGAAGGATGTCATTCACCTGGGTTTTGAGAAGGCCCAAGGTGGATAGGCAGAAGAAAGCCAGAAAGCTTTATAACTCCCTACAGGCTGCTGGGTGGGAGGGGCCAAGTGTCTGTAGTAAGAGATGGGGATGTAGCTCAGGTGGCAGGTAGAGTGCTTAGCATGCACAAAGCCCTGGGTTCACTCCCTAGCATCCCAAAAAGAACCTGCAATAAGCCAGAGACAGGGGTAGAAGCCAATGGAAGCATTTAGTGTGATCAGGGACAGCGTCCCTAGGAGAAATGGTGGTAGGGAATTAGAGCAGGATAAGGGACAATCACAGAGGACTTCGGTTGGCTCAGCACTGGGTAAACTAGGATAAGAAAGGGAACACAGACAGCAGGCTCAGGTCCAGAGCACCCCCTGGGTGGGAAGAACATAGTGAAGAGACAGAAACAGCAGGGTTGGGGCCTGGGTGGGGGGGGATGAGATCAGCCCGGGACTTACTGCAGCAGCTCCAGGGAAGAGTGCTCCCGAGCAGCCTTGGCCAAGGCCAGGGCCGCTGCATCACCAGCACCGTTGTAGGCCACGTTCAGTTCCTGCAGCTGCCTGTTGCGGTCCAGCTGGGCAGCCAGCAGCTCCAGCCCCTCGTCTCCAAGGTCGGTGTGCAGCAGGGACAGGTGTGTCAGCGAGGTGTTCCCTGCCAGCCCCTCCATCAGTGAGGCCACGCCGGCTGCTGTCAGTGGGTTGTTGGAGAGCCTAAGGGCCACAAGCAAGGCCAGCGGTGGGGGGGCGGGCAGAGCATTGGAGGCGCCCAAGCTGGGTGTTGGAGTTGGAGGCCAGCCTGGGTACAGAAATGAGGCCCAGGAGAAGGGACAGTGAAATGAGGAGTGGCCCCTGCCCAGGACGGGGCGTGAAGGGAAGCAGGTTTCTCTTCCCTCTCCTTTCTGTTTCTCTTGCTTCCTGACTCTCCCTGCCCCTCCTTTCTATTATTTATTTATTTATTTATTTATTTATTTATTTATTTATTTAGTGCATGTGTGCCTGTGGGGGTGAGGCGAGGGAGGTGGCTATGGAGGTCAGAGGACAACTTGTGAGAACTGGTTCTTTCCTTCAAACCAACTTGTGGGTCCTGGGGATTAAGCTCAGTTTGTCAGGTTTGGCAGCGGCCACCTCTACCTCCTGGGCCATCTCATCGGGAGTCCCCCTCAGCCCTCCTTTCCTCTCCCTCCTTCACTTCTGATTCTAGTCAGAAACCAGGACCCCCAGGCATCTGGGTTCCTAGGAAATCAGCCAGCACGTTGGGAGCAACTAGAGAGTATCCTGCATTATGGTGAGTCTGCAGGGAACAGTGGCTCTGTTGCCAGGCAACTGGCCCAGGAATTACTGCAGCTGTCCTGTCCCCGAGGCTAATATTAGCCAGGAGAGAGGCTTTCTTAGCACCCACTGCTGGTGCCTTCCTTGCTCCTTTCTTTATATTTATTTTTTTGTTTGTTTGTTTTGGGGGGGAGGGGCAGAGTTTCTCCGTGTAGCCCTGACTGTCCTGCAGACCCTGCAGGAACTTGCTCTGTAGCCCAGGCTGGCCTTGAACTCAGAAATCTGCCTGTCTCTGCCTCCCCAGTGCTGGGGCTAAGGGCATCTCCACCTTGCTCCTTTCTGATGCTAGTAACGGACCTGGGCAGGAAGCTAGCCAGGGCCCAGACAACCTCTTTTCTGGAGCCAGGGCAGGCCTGCGCCGGCCATGTTTGTGAGGCAGGGTGCTCATGATGTCGGAGGCCATGGGAAGAGCCAGAGCCTCCCTCGGGCCACTGACACTCACCGCAGAGTGGTGATCTGGCACTGTTTGTGCAGCAGCAGGTCTCGGAGGTCCCTGCAAGCCTCGGGGCCCAGGCTGTTGAGTTGCAACCTGGAGCAGGAGGGGAGGCAAGAGACAAAGAAAGCAGATCAGCATGGAGTCTTCCTGTGGACTGTGCCCCTTCCTCACCAGCCTGCTTCCTGCCAGCTCCACTCTTCTTCCCTCACGCTGCTCCTGTCACCCCTGCCCACACCTTCTCCATCCCACCCAGCTGTGGTCTGCTGTGCCAAGGGACATGAGTTGGAGGTTTGCGGTTGTATTGTAGGAAGGTCGAGCCTTGATAGATGAAGCCTGACGGAGGATCAGTAGGGGGTCTGCACTGGGAGTGGGTTGGTGTTCGGCAAGCCTTCTCCCCTGGCCTTCTCTACACACAGCTAGTTCCTTCTCCCCCTCTCTTCCTTCTTAAGACAAGGTCTTCCTCCTCCTCCTCCTCCTCTTCCTCCTCCAAGATTTACTTATCTATGAGTGCTCTATCTGCATATACACCTTTACGCCAGAAGAGGGCCACCATGTGGTTGCTGGGAATTGAACTCAGGACCTCTGGAAGAGCAGCCAGTGCTCTTAACCACCGAATCATCTATCTCTCCAGCCCCAAGAGACAAGGTCTTAGTAGCCCAGGCTGGCTGGGAACTCACAATGTAGCTCAAGCTGAACTCAAACTCACAGCGCTCCTCCTGCCTCCGTCTTTTGAATTCTGGGATTAGGCTTCGCTTTCTGCTATAGTAGCAACAGAAAGCAGACTCCTACATGTCCCCTGGCCCTTCACTCCTTTGGCGTCTGGCACCTTCTCCTCCCCGCTTCCTATCCAACGCTCTCTTCCCTTCATGCCTGCACCTAAGGATCAGTCCTCACCCCAGTTTCCGGGCACGCAGGAAGACAGGCATGAGAGTGTGTAGCCCAGCAGGATCCAGCTGACAGGAAGCCAAGTTCACCTCATCCAGAGGGTGCTTTCCACTTCCTAGGACAGCGGCTACCACGGTGCACTTGAGGGGTGTCATGCGCACACCAGCTAAATTGAGCTGGCGCAGGGAGCGGAGCACCTCGGCTGAGAAGCGCTGGTTCTGGAACTCATAGTGGAAGAAGAGATGGTCAAGCAGCTCGGAGGGGGGCAGCACCTGCCGACCCAGCTTCTCCAGTTTCTTCTTGATGGCCTGGGCGTTTTCCAGGGCATCCAGGTTCTTGATGGGGCAGCCAAGCTGAGCCAGCACCGCCCGGTTGTGGGCAGAGAGCAGTCCCCCCATGAACATGGGGAAGAGCTCAAAGACTTCGTCCTCAGGGGGTTCGTCTGGGTGGCGCCGGGGCCCCTCCACACCCAGGATGCTGGCACCCATCTGATCCAGAACATCGTCATTGTAGTAGTCCTCCTCCCGGAACATCTCCAGCACCATGGCCTGGGCCACCGCCTCCCGACTCTTGCTCACCATGCGCCCAAACACTCGCGGAACCACCTGGATAAGAAGCATGGGGGGCGGGGGGTGGCCTTCCACACATCCAATCAGCCTTCAAGGCTCAGTTCAAGATAGCTGCTCTCCCTCCAACTGTTCTCACCTTGGGATCTCCCCCTGAACTCACAACACAGTTTGCCAGATCCCGCTACTCCTCCTTGGTGAGACACTCTCTATGGCTCCCTGCTGCTTGTGAGGCAAACTCCACACATTTAGCCGGGAATAGGAAACTTTTCATAATCTGGCCCCAAATTGACTTTTCTAGGGTCATTTCTCAAACAAACACTTGCTTCGTGCACTCCAGATGTTAGGGACCTCTTTCTTCTTCCCAAGCACCCATTCATTTTCTAGTCCAGGAGCGGGGTGGGGAAGAAGAAATACACACACAGTTGTCCCTCCACAGGCAGCCAGTTCTGGATCCATTGTGGATATCAGATATGCCTGGATGCTTAAGTCCCTTATGTAAAATGAGTGCTTGTATATAGTCTATGCACACCTAACTGTATTCTAAATAATTCTGGACTATTGACAACACGATACAATGTAAATGCTAAGTACTGAATGGTTATGTGGTAATTATTTATGCTAGATAAACAGTACTAATATTGTGTTTAAAAAAAAAAAACCTATGTATGTTTAAGACAGATACTTTTTGTGTGGGCAGTGCTGAGGATTGAGCCCAAGGCTTCACACATGTTAAGCACATGCTCAATTACAGAGCCACAGCCCCCAGCTGCATTTTTTAAAATTATTTTAT